TAGTAGAGCGGATTATGGAGTTTACGTGTCGTATTATCATAGACAGTGCAATGTCACGAGCGCGCCTCGTCTCGTACAGAGCTGGAGGTCTTCTTATAGGAGCGGCCCCATCGACCGAGCATAATCCGCCGATCCGATATTGCGAGATCGATGCGCGGGATGCTGGCTGCAGCTGGCACACGTGACCGCGTGTGCACGTCGATGCCGCGAGATGCACGGACCCGTCGTCCCTCGTAAGAATTAATCTCGGATCGTGGTTCGACGATCCGTCATTGAACGGATCGACGAGTTCAGCCGCGCTCGGGATGACGGGCATACAACGAGCGTGCAACAGGTACGTTTCTATCGGGATATATACTCTGGGAATCGGTAATGGCTTGCAACGTTGACAGAGACGAACTGTGCACGATCCGTTTCTGGGAGAGGAAAAACGAAAACGAACGTGAGAAGTCATTGACTCATATTATCTACTTTCCAAGATTGCGGATTTGCATGAATTGTCCCAATTCTCTTCTTCTAAAACGATTTTATATTTTAATGAACTTCTTTTTTAACATGGATTTATGGATGCAGTTTCTTCATAAATGTTTATATGTAAATGTGTATCGTAATATTTTGGGATTGCATGTGCGTGTGTGTGTGACACATAACTTATCAAGTTTCAAAGTTAATATTTAAGATTTAAGAATAAAAAGATACAGTTTCTCTCGCATCGAGATAATTTTCAGGCCACTATTACAGCTTGCATCTCTCAGATAATTTAAGAACCAAGATAAAGAAATCAAATTATATATATATGTATATATACGCATTAGCATTAGTACATCATTTAGGCGGATTACATCTAACACTGCTCGCCGCCGCAAAATGCTCGCGTGCGTTCTTAATGTAACGCATAGTAGCCGGACGCGATCAAACGAAATTGGACGCAAACATGATGATCAACGGTGTGCATTATCTTATCGCGCGCGATAGATCGCGGCAGCAAAAGGAGAGAAACTACTTTAATGACTGTCGGGAGCCTCCTTATCCGGGCAAGAGGCGGATGCACCCGCTTATTATTCCTAGCTGAAGACGAAACAAGGACGAGATGGAAGGTAACGCGAGTATCACGTGCTTCTGCGCCGAAAGGCCGCCTCGAGCGCATTTCGGTGCGGAGCTCTTGTGAAGAGGAGCATGCTGTCGTTGCTTCTCGTGGGAAGGAGGAATTGGGTTAATCCTACGAGCCGACGTTCTCCGTCTTCGAGAGAACGAGCCTTGCCTCTGCCCAGACGAACACGGCGCGTCACATTTGTCAAAGTCCACGTGGACTTGTGACGCGCATGAAGAACACGCTTCTTGCGGTTCATCGCGGAAATAGAATACATGGCGGCGGCGTTTATGCGCGAAACGTAAGAAATAGGAAAATCTAAAGAACGCTGTAATTGAGACTTTCTTGAGAGAAAGTCTCTTAAAGAGAAAATACGCACTCTATATAGAACACTTGCTATTGTTACATTTATATGATATATGAAACGACACAATGTTTTTATCACATCTTACAAATAGAAAAAAAGTCAGCTAATTAGATAATTGTGTGACGCGCATGAAGAACACGCTTCTTGCGGTTCATCGCGGAAATAGAATACATGGCGGCGGCGTTTATGCGCGAAACGTAAGAAATAGGAAAATCTAAAGAACGCTGTAATTGAGACTTTCTTGAGAGAAAGTCTCTTAAAGAGAAAATACGCACTCTATATAGAACACTTGCTATTGTTACATTTATATGATATATGAAACGACACAATGTTTTTATCACATCTTACAAATAGAAAAAAAAGTCAGCTAATTAGATAATTGATTATGAAACCGCGATGTAATCAAATGGTCAAATTTTTTATGTAAACAAGTTAATTTTTTTTATTCTTTGCACCGAGATAAATTTTCTAAAGACGCGTGAAAATTCTCTACAAAGTAATAAAATACAAAACCTTATATAATAAAAGCTAAATTTATAAAAATAACATAGTAAATATTTGAATAAAATTTGAAAAAAAGTATGATGAGAGAGAGGGAGAGAGAGGAATTAATTCAATGTGGCCTAGGGGAAAGCTGTAATATGTAATATTAAGAATATATAACCGGACCGAGCCAAAGAGGAGAGACAGAGAGTATTACCGATTTCTTGCACTCGCCGTAATAACGAATAAATTGCTACATATATGCAGCCTAGAATAACCTGTCGTGCCAGCCGCGGGCTCCACGAAGTTCATTTGGTTTCATTTTAACGCCAACGATCGATTTACGTTATTTACAATTTTCCCGTTCTGGAGAAAAGTTATTTAACTTTGCAAGAGACTTTGCTGAAGATGCAAACGATTGTTTTATCACTTATATAGTTAGGGTAATATTTGTCACTCCTCGATAGACATCTCGCGAAAATTTCCTAACTTAATTCCGCTATGCTGTAATCCGTGCAGACTTGCGAAGATAAATGGTATGTACACAATTGCCGCACACGCATGCACACACACACACACACACACATACATAGAGACACAATTGGCTCGAAACCCAACTCATTGCAACTCTAAGGTGTAATGCCGAAGAGCCACAGCGTCACTCCCGCTAACGATAAGTGCTACTTCCTCGAGGGATCGTTGCTGCAGTCGATTGTTGCCGTGCCGGTGATTATATGCGCGCTCTCACCTGCATAACTCCGCATCGCGCGAAATTAAGCGCTTCAAGTACTATATTGACTATTTGAGCGCGGCCGCGGCTTTATCTTCGCCGATGTAATTTCAGGCTATTACGACGATTGTTAACGTCGGGTGCCCTATCATTACGATTAGACGTTCGTGTCAAATCGCATAATACGCTCCGTGGTCGAGGCTCCGCGCGCGCGCGCGCGACCACTTAACATACACGAACTTAAATAGCGTGACGTAAAAAAGTAACAATCCACACGCGCGTCATTTTTCATTTTACATAAGTGTAAGCCCGTTAAGGCGGCGCACCGCGATAATATCGTCGGGTAAACAGAGCCCGCAGAGTTTGTTTGCAAATGTATGCTAAATGGAAAAGCCGCTCCGACGAATGGTCGCCGAAGATCATACACAGTCGGTCGTTCCATGGAAATTAGTACATTTCCGTAATGATGCAATTTGCATAATCGCATAACGATTTTTAACGCAACGTGCAAGAGTGCACTCACATTTTAAATCTTAAGAACATGTATTTTAAGAAAGTTGAAAGGAATATTAAGGACAGAAAGTAGCCGAATTTTTGGAGCACTTCTATATTCTAAAAATAAAGGAGAGGCGTGTAATAAATGCATAGAATTAGCGAACAAGTTACATCTATCCACGCGCATAAAGCGAAATTACTTTGCGTTATTAAATTCATGACTAAATGAGCACGCGTTATTATCTCACATTTATATACGTTCCACCGACACGTATCTCCGCCGCTATTCTGCTCCACTTTCCTCTATCACCGCATTCTTTTCCTCCCGCTCTACTTATCTCTTAATTTAAGCTCCTTTGTCATCGCCCTCTTATCAGCGTACAGCCCGGGCATTATCGCTCGTACGTTTAAACGAAAGAGTGAATAATTCGGTCGTATCTCCGCGCACGGTACAGAATCTATCTAGAACGTGTCTCAAGCCGCATTCCACCAGTTTAATCGCCAAACGGAATAATCTCACCTCCAAGAAGCTCCCGCTCAAGGATCATGCATACAAAGATTTTGGCGCAGGCTACTTCGGCGCTGACGTCTCAATGCAGCCACCGAGAGGACCACCCAACCGCGATACTTCCTACAACCGCCCAAACCAGAAATCTCCCTAAAAAAAGGAGGTTGAACGAGAATCCCTCGAGCGTCGAAGGAGAACAGGGATAAGGGAGCGAATAGCTCCTGAGAAGGATGTGACTGATGCGGCAGCGATGTAAATGTTTACATTTTGAATATTTATTGGTGGTTCTAAATAAAAACATGCGCAATAATTTTTACGATTTTGTGAATGTTATATGTCTCTGCAAATATGTAAAATTTACAAATTAATTTGCATATTATATATTCATTATATGCTCGCAAATAATTTTTCAGACATTACTATATCGTGAACAAAGAGTTTAGGAACTTTAGTTGGGTAATGTATTAGATTTGCGAAACGTTTTCTTGTTCTATTAAATTTTAGAAACTAATGTATATCAATTTATCAGAATATTAATTTTTATTTTTCAGACTGCAATATCGAGAATGGCGTTCGTAAAAGTTCGCCGAACATGGTATGATATCACAGTTAACAGACAAATTGTCTGGCGCAGGTGCATCGCTGCCACAAAGATTATCACGGAAGAGTTCGTCGCGTCGTCCCGAATTTGTCAATAAATAAAGGCTTATGTTAATTCAAGCGGCGAACGCGAGAGCCGACCGAGATATTTTACCGGATTAATATTACATTTGCGCCGATCAAATTCGGAGTTTAATCTCCCGCGGCCCTGAGCTTTGAAGACGCGATGAGGTGGGGGCGGGGGCGGAGGGAATACACAAAACAGAAATATATTTAATATATACTCCCTTGTAAATACAGCAAAATTTTCAATGCGCTGTAAAAATATTTTTTATGTTTGAAACATATGAAAGATGTATTATGTGTAAAGGTCTCTTTAAATGATTTATAATTCACGACAAAATTCAAAATAAAATTCTATTTCTGATTTCTAATTTCTAATAATATCTAATTATATTTTAATGTATACTAGTATACATTAAAGTGTTAGTATATATTTTAATGTATTCTAATATATATTTTGATTTGTAAGTATTTTACATATTCAAATGTTTTTTGTATTAGACGACATAAAATTTATAAATAGATTTGTCTTAAATTTTGGATTAGCTACAAAGCCAAAGTAAAAAAAATTATATTTTATTTAATTAATTAATTATAATTAATTAATTAAAATTAATTTATACTTAATTTATTCTTATGATAGATGCATATTGAAAGAATTTATTACAAGTAATTCCTAATTTTTTCTATCTCATCTATTTTAAGGTAACAGATCTAACTACAACCTACAATCTGGATCTAAATCTTAAATCTTTGTACATATAAAAATCCGTTATCTTAAATTAAATAAAATTTGTCACTCACCGACACTGATGCGCAACAGCGGAGTTGTTGATACTGAAGCTACGTTGTCTGTAATATACAAATGTGAAAGCCAAATTATAGCAACGTCGAAAATACAATTAATATTTTTAAAAATAATTACTTTACATATCAAATTTTTTTTTATATCTGATGCGTACAGTACTAAACAGATATAAAAATATGGAACATTTTTATAAATTCTAAAAAGATTATTTTTTTAAACAGAAACTTTTATAGAATTTATATTAAGTCTTCCTTTTGACTTTTTTCTTATTTAATTCATTCGAAAATAATAAGATCAAATTAATGTGCGTACGCGATTTATAACAACTAAAATACAAATAATAGGTACTCACCCTAGGATTGCTTTGCCGGTGCAGGATGTCTCTTCTAAGCTTCCACCTCCCCTTACGTTGTCAAGATTGTCAGCTACGTTGATCTGTAACATGCAAATAGAAGATCCAAATTGTAGCAACGTTCAAAATAATCAATATTTTAAAAAATTGTTATTGTGTACGCATTAAATTTTTTATTTTCGATGCATATAATAAGCAAATTTTTAAAAAATGAAATAATTTTATAAATTTTAAAAAAAATCTACTAACAAATCTCTAATAACTCTATATAAAAACTATAATTTTCTAAAAGTAGAAACTTTTACAAGATTAGTCTTTATATCTATAAATAGTCTTTATATACAAAAAATGTTCTGATTCTCTCTTATTTAAATCATGTAAATAAAAAGTCAATTTCTATTGATTATTCTCTCTTGATTAAAACTTGTTATAAAACTTGTATCAAGCTAGAAGAAAGTTTGTAAAGATTTAAAAACTTTTTCGTCTTTGTCATCTTAATCCGCGTAGGTCCGGCGACTGAAAACGATCTCGTAGTATCCCTGGAACCGAATTATGGCATTCCGAGCTCGTTTAATTCAGAAAAGCTCATGTGATTTATAATCCGGCGGCATCGATTTCGGCCGATCTTGACGATCGTCATCGGTATCCACG